TGTTGTATCTGGCTTTGGTTATTGTTAGCATTTTTTTAAGACAAGACCTGTCATAAATGTAATTCTGTACCATCACAAATAGATCAGGAAGGCAGAGGCCTGTAGCACTTATTGTCAAAGCCAATGTAATAGGTTCAGTCCAACTACCTAGCGGCTTTAGACAATTGATGATGCCATTACACTTACTGAAATATTATTTAAAAATATAACTAAATGGAAAATTATAAATATTTTCTCAGTGAATATATCAAACTTTTATTTAATTATTTTTTCAATTAAATAATTGAATATTAATTAACATAAAAGAAATGCAATTTACTCTTTTTCATTTATAGCTGTGAGAATTCCAATTACAGATAGTAATAGTAAAAACCAAGGTAAACTCAATCCATTGTGACTTGTTGGTCTATGTGATTGTATAATAAAAACTTGAAGAAAAAAAATTATTCCATACGGGATCTACAACAATTAAAATTTTATAATTCATGAAAGAAAATGTGTAGAAAAATAATTATATGAAAAAAAGTAACATTTACTTCTTCGATTTTGTTCAATTTTATTGATATAACTATTTCATCTTCAAAGGTTGTTAATTTGTAGATACCCAGAATGGAAAAAATGAAAACTAGGGATGTAAAGGTAATATATAAAGTCAATTCCAAAGAATAGGAAGGCTGGAAACATTTTTATGTTATTATAAGTGATCATTTAAAATATTAAATTAAATTATTTTATTTACATTAGGAATTCAATTTATATTATACATACTTGAAGTCCCAAGGCTACAAGAAGTGCTAAAAATAAGGGAATGGTAACTGGCATAAGCCATGGTATTGTTGGAAATAAATGGTAAGTAGCTTCCTCATTGCTGTCATACTGGGTTAATTGAAGGCCCAAGCCACTGCAAACAAACGCAAGTCCCGAAGTCAGGCACAGTAGTTTCAGCCAGCTAGTGATCAGCGATGAATCTTCTCCATTAACATTGTTAAATACTTTATTAATAACTTAGTTTTTTAATAATTTCTAAGAGTAATGTTTTAGTACAAAAAAAAGTCTATTAGTCTAACAGTCAGTCTTATCAGTAATAGATAAAGGGTGTTAAAGAAAAATGTATTTAAACTAATAAAATTGAATTTAAAAACACTTATATATATTTAATACTTATTGCATTAAATTGGAAAAAAAAACTACTTTTAAGGTTTTATAAATAAAATGTGAAATGTAGTTGGCTTGAAGAAAAAGGATTCCGCTTTAGAGTTTGTTACAGATACAAAACTTGGTACAGTATTGTCAGAGATGGGCAAATGCTACTCTGAGTACCGAGTACCAAGTATTTTACTCTAATTGAATCATTATTGGGAATTAAATCACAACTTCAGTTAATCGTTTGACATAAATTAAAATGGTAATTAAATTCTTTGGTACTCAAAAAAGATCAGTATTTGACTAAAATACTTGGTACTCAGTAGAGTGGCATTTGTCCATTTCTAAGTACTGCTTCGATCTATTGAATACAATTGAAGTAATTATATTATGTCTGTTGAAATAGGTATACAAATTTGTCATCTACTGAACTGTTGAGTATAAGAATAATGAATGATACATTTATGGACTAATGTTTGATCAGAGATAGGATATCTATAAGGCGATATCATTAAACCTAATCTAATGTATTTTGATATTGATGGTACCTAACTTCTGGGTTCAGCTTTTACTATTGTTTTGTCATTATTTCATAGCTTAACTTTTTTTGTTCATCACTGATTTTTTATAACGTCACGATGATTCAGTTAAACATGCATTTGTGAAGGAAATTTGTTTTATCAATTGGACAACTGTTCGATAAAAATACAATGTTCTAGAAGTGAAATTTAAGATCTTAAAGCATTAAAAACTTGATTACTTGTTTATGGGTCTTATCATTATCAGAAAGAAGACTCAAAATCATTACTTAAAAAGAACCATGAAAGAAATATATTCTTGATGAACAACACTTAAAGAGACTAAGATTTTTCAGTAGCACTTATCAGAAATATTGAAGAAAAACAATCTCAGTACTCTTGAGAGCCAATTATAATGTATTTAGAAGAGAATTTCATTGATGTTCCAACCTAATTATTTTGATATATAGGGTGCCCCATAAGGAGAGAGAACAATTTATAGGAGTGATACCAGATCTCAAGAACTACAAGAAAGTTTATATAAACATTTGTCCGATTTCGGCAGAAAAGTAGATATTTTAGTTTTGTGTTCATGTGTCATTTTTTGTTTAATAGGAAGCGATAACTAAAGAAATATTTAAGTAATTAATAATTGATACACTGTAAACTAGACAAAATTTGTTTCACATGAGCAGCTAAGCTCTGTTTAAAAAAAAAAAATCGTGAATAATTTACGATTTTGTAAAAACAGAACTTACTTTACTTCAGGAGCTCAAAAGTCCTCTTTAAATGGATTTAACAAAGATAAACTCTATTTTTATTTGAAGTAAATTTTGTTTAGTTTACTGTGAAGGAATTGTTAATTACTTCTTAAATTAAATATTTATTTAGTCACCGCTTCCTATTCAACATGACACTTTAAAAACACAAAACCCATATTTTCTATTTTTTTTTTGTTGAAAATTGGATCTATGTATATATATATATATATATAAGCTTTTTTGCAGCTCTTAATGTGTGATATCACTTCTATAACTATTTTCCTCTACAGGAAATTCTTTGAACAATAGAAAAATTTGTGATGTTTGTGAACATTTTGATGATAGGAGAAACATGAAATATAAAACATCAACCTTATATAATGGAAAATTGTAGAAGTTTTTGTCGCTCTAACATTAAAAAAAAAAAAGGAAATTGAAGCACACTTCAAATTTGAACTTATCTACAAGGTGAATCTTGAATGACGATGAATTTGAAAAGCTGTGTGTGATATTATGAGCCATCACATATTCATGACAATGCCCATTCCATACAAAAATATTTGGAACAAACTTAAAAGAGAGACTTGATCATAAGTTCTGGTACTTTCCACCGTCAAAGAGATGAAGATGACTATATTGGAAGGATGAGGCCTCATACAAAACTTCTTAAGTATACGGATTAAAATGGAAACAGTAAAGTCAGGAAATTAATAATTATTATTAAAATGTTCTTTTTTAATTCTTACATTAAAAAATCAAGTTCATGTATATGATCTCCACTTTCATATTTTAAGGTATCGTAATTTTTTAGATTTGTACTAAAACTCTCTTTTACAAGAATCTCCATTAATTTTTTAGTCATTTACATTAATGAATATCAGGTAAAGTATATGATTGTATATATGTTACAATTTCGTCATTCATTCCATTTGTTTAGAATAGTTTGTATAAGGATAGAGAATGGATTACTTTTGCATTCTCTAATAAGAATAATGAAAATTCAAATTTTTAATGTTTAACGTTTCTGAAAAAATTCTAAGGGATGTTTCTTAAAAAAATATAAACACAGTCCTTGGTTTGCTCAATCATTTTACCCCAACCGATCCTATCTGCAACATGTGCTATGCTCATTCCTGCTTGTCCTATGTGCGTGAAGATACCATCCATCCAGCATGATCTGGGTATTTCCTGGACATGTATCACCTGATGTGTTCCTGTACACTTTTAGAGGGCACCTGTAGTCTTCATTCCTTATGATGTGGCCAATCCATTTTAGTCTCTGCAACCTGGCGAAGTTGGTGGTGGTATTCACCGTCTAACTCCACATTTTGGCACAGAAGCAAGGGTTTAATTTTTAGTAGATGAAATATAACTTAATTTGCTTTTTCAATCAAGGGTTTAAGAGGAAACCTATAATATATTAGTATTTGGAAAGAATGATTTAATAATAATTTTAAGTTCGCATTTCTTTATTTAACATACAATTACTCGCAAATATTTTCTATAAATAATCCAAGTAAGTTGATATTTTAAAATTGCTATGCATTTAATTACTGGAACAAATATTTTGGACTACAATTTACCAATCTATTTTTACTGATGATTACTTTTCCTGATTATTAAGTTAATGTTAAAGTTGACTGCTGTATTTTGCTTTTAGTAATTTTTTTCTTTAAATAATAACTATACCTGTCTGCAGCATTAAATATAAACCATTCTTTAATTGAATTAATAAATTGATTCTGTAATCATTTATTTTAAGCAAGATAAGTTAGTTCCCTAATATTGGACAATAATGCATTTACTACTCATCTCATTCAAATTTATGACATATTTTGTTTGTTTTATTTAATTTAATATATATATTTTTTTTTAATGCCACAGTAGAAAATTATCAGATTTTAAAAAGGCAAACAGAAAATATATTGTGGCAAAATCATATAAAAAATTGTATTCCACTATTAAAGTTTACGTTACAATTTAATGAATGCCTGAGACAAGACAATAGCTCTTAAAATCACTGAAAAGATACAGTAACAAATTTGATATTTAAATTTAGTTAAAATAATAATAAATACACTGAAATTGATCTTATTGTCACAGAAACCTAAAGAAAAGCACAAGAAGAAATCTTTCTATTTAAATCAAAGCTAATTAAATATAAGAAAGGTTAGATTTTTTTGTAAGAAATAAGGCTTCACTATAATCCATTCTCCTTTAATAGCAAAGTGCTTTGGGAAGTAGTATACATGAGTTCACATACTGATGAAAATTTTTTATTTTGGTTTGTTTTTCATAATATACTTAAGAAATTTACCTTTCTTTGTGATGGAAAAGGCTTTAGAAAATAAGTATGCTGCAGTGATATACAATAACAAATAATTATGTCCATGATGATCTAGAAAAACAGGAAACAATGTACAACAACAAATACAAACAGGTATCAAATCATCCTTGTGATAAAATAGCATTTTATTGACAAAATGTTCACTCCTAACTAATTCAGGTAAGTGGAATGTATGGCTTCATATTAAGCATATGGCTTCTATTGTCCCCTAAACTTGTATAATTATGTATTTTAGTCTTGTAAATCAATAGATCTGGTCTTTAATAGTTTTTTAAAGAATTCAGCTGATTTTTTGGGTTGCCTTTTTCTTTCAGGGTCTTTGAAATCAACGTGGACCAAACCGAATTGAGCCCTGAAAAAATTGTTTCAAAATATAATAATAATTTAAAAATTGTACATGTAAAATACAATTATTATTATATAATAATATGACTTACCTATAGCCCATGAGCCATTCAAAATTGTCTAGTAGACTCCAAGCAGTATATCCCATTACATTGCACTTATCTTCATGAATACTTTTGAGTAACTCTTTCAAATACTCCTATATACATAATGAAAAATGATGTTTAGTTAAAACTATTGTTAAAAGCCTTTCTAATTTGGTGATCTCTGCTAAAGGACAGATTTTAATATATTTACTGGAAAAAATATTTTTCCTTACCTATGAGCCTGATAAAAAGAGGAAGTGGGTGAAATAAAAAACTTTGTATTTACAATTGGTCGTATTTTGTCTATTTAATTCTTTCAAATGAGTCGTGTGCAAACTGGTGTAAGCTATTTACATGATAATTAAATAATTAGTAAATATATTAACATTATGCTTTTAAATGGATATGTCTGAGACTGGCTATTTTCAAAGAGAAAGTAAGCTGTCATTCCTTACCAAGAAATACATATTATTATTCAACACATACTTTTATAGAAATTTTCCTGAAGTGTTGAATGTCTCAAAGCTTCAATTTTTTACTTCAACCAACACTTTTTCATTTATCAGCTGTAAAATTTTTTTATTACGAACATAAATTGTCTTTGAATTAACTAAATTGACAAAATATTGAAACAATGACTTAAAACAAGTGACATTATAAAAGTATTGGGAATAATACTAATGATTTATTACTGAATTATTGTAAACAACATTGGTTATTTAGTAATAGATAAACTGGTCAAATAAAAATATATTAATCTGTCATTATTAGGTAAATTGTTGTTAGATTGTCTTTTTTAGCGAAAGAATATCTTCTGTCACTATGTGAGTAATAATAGCAGAGCTAATTAATTTGCATTCAGATCAGACCAGAGATAACATGATGACAATAAATGATAATATACTATAAAATATACTGTCATTAATCATAACGTTAAATTAACTGAATTAATTAATCAGAGATAAAAATCTCTGTCATACTTACCGTGAAGTAATATATTCTGTCATTATCATTGAGAGATTTCTCACTCATACTTCCATAACCACTCTCTGTAATGAATATGTTAGGATTATCATACTGACCCTTAATCCAATTCAGTACCAATCGCAAACCCTCAGGTACTACCTGCAAACATTGATTTTTGTTAGATCTAAAGAATTTGGTAATAACCTATCGAGTGTGATAGATTGTAGTTCTTAAATAAGAACAAAAACCAGCAAAATCATTCATGGAGTTCCATCTTCTTATAATAATAAATTAAAAATTCTTAACATTAATTTGAAATTAACTACTGCTAGTTTTAAAAAAAGAGTGGAGTAGCTCAGCGCAGGGATGCCCATCCCCCCCCTCCAAGGTCAATGGCGCAAGAGCTTACCCCCTCTCCTCCTCCCAAGATATTTTATTATATACCTTTTCTTAAAAATAAAGCAACATAAGGTAGAATTAGAAAAATCGTAGATCATATACAATTACACTGCCTGCAGTCTATTCTATGTTTTCCTCTTGTTCATTTGTCTGAAAATTCATAACCCCGTCGAAATTTGCCCCCTCAAAAATTCAAAAACCCTTCAAAATATGTTCCCCTCAAAAATTTTGATGGTGCAACTTGCGTCATGAAACCTCCTTCTGAGCATCCCTGGCTCAGTGAGTATTTATTTATGTTCTTCTTTCCTTGCACCTCATCAATACAGACTTTTGGTAAAAGTGGCACGATACTTCTACCACTTATCTCCTGGTTCTTTGGTCTTCATTAGTGGAGGTTAAAATGATCATCCCCCACCAATTGCTTCCACCTGTACACCAATGCTTCATAGTATAGGCAGTTATCCTTGCTTACTAGCTGAGGGAAATCATCCTCCATGATGATTTGCAGTCCAGTTTCCCACAGTAGTTTGGCCCTTACTGCTTAAAAGCAGTGCAAGTCGTGAAGATATGCTCAGCAGTTTCCAGAACACTATAACAGGGACATAGAGGATTAATTTCTTTCTTAAAGACATGAAGCTTAGCACGAAACCCTCCATGCCCTGTGAGGAATTGTGACACCCAATAATCAGGGAGAACCCATCTTGCTTCCTGCCTTGAATAGACCGTAGGAAAGTATTTTCTCAAACAAAAAAAGAGCCTTTGTGAGCAGTTACCCACTGGCGATTGCAATGTTCATTGGTGTACTCCCCTATTATTCTTTTCCATTTAGATGGACCTACCACAATCCTTTCTTGGAGATTTTCCGGAAGACATGCTAAGCCTTCTTTTATGAGGATATATTTATGCTTGTCTTCTTGCAGGAGAAGGTCGAGAGGCACCCCTCCTGCTAAAACCTGCACCATCTCATGAGCCTGTAGGAGGTTATGATTCCAAGCCGGGAAGACGTACCTCAAGATACCCAGTAGTACTCCATTATAGATAGTAATCGTTGCCAGATACCTGAGGCCCCAGAAGGCACTTCAATACAACTTATTTCATTGAGGACCAGGATCACCCTTACTTACTGCTGGGCGCTACAGCCCTACAAGGACTATTTATTTATTTTGTGTATTTTTCTTTCCCAGACATTGAGTTTCATTTTACTTTTACTGGTCAATACCCAGGATTCACTGCCATACGTAACTATGGGTCTCAGTTTGCCTTCATAAATAATGAGTTTTGCTTTTTAGGACAGAGCTTTAAACTTTAATGTTCTTTGTATGGCATATAGGTGACACTTGTTACCTGCAGCCAGCCTGGCATTCACTTCTTCTTTCATGCCGTTGTCATGTGAAATGACTGCACCCAGGTACTTAAACGTGCTTATACTTTTAAAACTGTGATCGCCAATCTGCAGATCATGGTATTCCGTTATTGGTGCCTGGAAGTTTTTAAATATTTTGTTTTTCATTACATGACCATACATTGTCATTTTTGCTAGTCTAGTGAGCTTCCTGGTAATACCCAATTCAAGCATTATCTTCAGTAATTCTTCTCTATCAATACTGTCGTATGCTTACTTAAAATCGATAAATAAATTATGGAGGTCAACATAAAATTCATATCCCCTTTCAAGAATTTGTTTTAATGAGAAGGAATTTTGATGGAATTAATGGTTAATCTTCGAGGCCTGAAACCACACTGATAGTCACCCACTATCTGTTCAGAAAACTTTATCAGCCGTCAGTTCAATAATACAGAGAATACCTTGTAGGCTGTATTCAGTAGTGCTAACTCTCGATAATTACCACATGATAGTTTGTCGCCTTTTTTATGAATAGAGCATATCGCTGCTATTTTCCACTCTTCAGGTATTCTCTCTTCAAACGAAACATCTAACATCAATTGGAATATAGATATTTTTAAATCATCCCCTCCATTTTTTAGCATTTCTGAATGTAAGCCATCAATAAGGAGCCTTATTGTTCCTTAATTTGCCTATGATTTCTTCAACTTCTTCCTCTTCAGGAGGCTCCACTTCTTTATCTCCTTCTCCGGGTACACCCTGTCGGCATTTCGGCAGCTTAATTCTTTCCTCTCTATCTTAATGATGGGGTTCTACAATAATTTTCCTGAAATATTCAGGCCATCTCTGCAATATTTTAGCAGACTCACCTAGCCCCGTCTTTTGTCTTGCAGTACGAGATATTTGGTTAGAAGCCTTCTTTTTATTCCCTTAATGCTTTTATAAAATTCCCTTTTGTTCTTTGAGTTGTGATCATTATGGAACTCTTCTAACTGCTTATTTAGCCACGTTCTTTTTTTTCTGATGGGAGATTTTCTTGGCATTCTTCCTTCTGGCAGAGTACTGATCTTGGCTTCCTCTAGTCACCCTTTATAGCATTTTCATTCGTGCATCTTTCTTTGCTGTCAGGGCTTGATGGCATTCCACATCAAACTAACCATACTTATTCTCTTTATTTTTCTTTCCTAACACTTCATCTGCTGCTTTTCCCAAGCTGTTTATTTGTTAGCATTCCACCTGGTGTCAATATCATTGTTATTTAATTGGTTAGAAGCATCTACTAGTTTATCGGTTACTTTGTGTGAAAATCATTTACTACATTCCTCTTCCTTCAGTTTATGCTCGTGGTCACAGAGATATTTTATATTTGAAGGAAGATTTTACAAGGTAGTGATCTGTGTCACAGCCAGCACCTCTATAACTACGTATATATTTAATGTTGGATGTGTGTCTTTTAGTAAGATAATCCTGAAACCTATCTGAACCTACCGACTCAAACTGTGAGGGACAGCAAAACTTTCTAACATCAAACGCATTCAATCCTTCCAATCTAAAGTTCTTCTAACAATAGTCGATGCTCCCTTTTATGTAACCAATAAAACCCTACATAATGACCTTAATATCCAATTTGTACTTGACCTAATCCAAGACAAATTTTCCAAATTTCACCAGAATCTCACTCATCATCCTAATCCTGCAGCTCAGTCTCTATCTAGCTCCAATCATTCCTACAATCTTCCTCAGAGGTTAAAACGGCAGTGGCCCCGTGACCTTTTGTAAATATGTATATATTGGAGTACTGGCACTGGCCAGATTCTTCACTCAAGTCCTGAGCGTCTGTTGCTCTAATGCCTCCATCAGTCTCCACTGGACTACAATACCAGTGACAAAGCTGGGAGAGAAGCACTGGGATCTCCTGGAGCCCTGCTTTGGCTTCCATATTTGGAGGACAAAGGTTGATTCAGAGTCTCCTGGGCCAATGTAAATATTGTACATAGGTGTGAATGTGTTTTATTTTTTTCTTACTTGGTAATTTTTATTTATTTTCCTTTCGCATGTAAATATTGTGTGAATGAATACTATAGTCCTAGTACCAATGTCCTTCAGTGTGGCAGCCTATTAATACTCAATAAAATAAAATAAAATTACCACTCACACAGTATTGATCCAATATAACCTTAAATCAATTTGAGATGAAGATTCTTTTAAGTTTTTATTTAATTAAATCAGACATTATTTAAATATTCCTTTCAATTTAATATATATATATATATATATAAATATTAGACACTACAATTTCCTTGGTAGACCAAAATATAGTAATGTTTACTTTAATCCATGTTATGTTTGAAGAAAGCCAATTTTTAGTGTGTTTGTCTAGAACACCACTATCCCTTTCATGAGATGGAGTTTTCCCTTGTTCACCATTGGCAACTTCATGTGATGTATAATGTTGATAAGAGAAAAAGTCAGCAGATCCTAAAAATCAAAACAATCATAAATATTACTTATATGGGCCTTTCAGTTGACAAAATGACTAACTCCAATTTCAACATTTAAGTCATTTTAGTGATATTTCTACTTGGAAAATTTATAATATCTGTACAGAGAGTGAGTAAGTTGATTCCAAAGTAGATGATTGTAGTGTTGAAATATAGAACTGTGAATAAGACCATAAATTTTCCCACTAGGAATTTCATTAAAATTAATAATCAAAAATGTTGGAATTGGAGTGAATCATTCTGTCTATTGAAAGGCTCATATTAAAATACACATATAATATTAAAGGTTTTAAATTAAAATGATTAAACTTTCAATTTCGAAATAATTTAATTTTTGCATCATCCTACTGAAAGATCAGATCTCCTATATGGGTTTTACAGTTGATATAATGTTTTAAATCCAGTTTCAACATTTTTCAGTTAAAACTTTTAATAATATTTATCATTGGTAATGCTCACCTTTTTTCAAAGAGAAATATTTTTAAAAGTATTTGAAATTGGAGACTGTTATTTTATCAACTGAAAGGGTCTTATATGAGTAAGTATATGTTGTAATTCTCAGATAATACTATCCATAATGACGCATTAAATTAAATATATGAGGATGGAAGCCTAACAGCGTTTGAATCTCCAGTATAAAATAAAAAAATCAAGATTCGTGAATTACTCTCCCCTTATAATTTATATGCTTTAAAAACTTGGCTATTTCTATTTTTTTTTTACTTTTCCCAGTTTCTCTGATAATCAAATAGACCATCAGGAGGAAATTTTCATGGATTATTTGACAAACAATAAAATATTCTATAACAACTATTGGTTCTTTAATCTAAGCACTGAATATTTGGTCGCTGTCCTGAAAATCCTTAGTTGTTTATTATAGACTGTCAAGTGTATTCTGAGTTAGGAACTAGAAATTAAAATATTATTGAATGCACCATTTCAAGACAATTCAGAAAAAAAAAACTAGAGAACTGCTGGACCAGTATAAAGATTCGGGCCAGGCCGAATCTAGGAATGGGAGAAAAGAGGGCTCACCAACCTGGGCGCCATATTTTGGGAGAAATTTTATTTTTTGGTTAAGAAAAAAAATATATCTTTTCTGCTTTTTGATTGTTTTGTCCGTAATTCGGTCAATAAAATGAACTACTTTGGGAAAATTAATTTCAGATGAAGATACTTATTTCGAAAATTAGCTAAAATACTTAGGTAAGACTGAACTTTAATTGGAGGGGATGGTGAAAGAAAAGGCTGCAAATTTAAGTTTTTTCCCTCTGACAAAAATCCTAGTCCTGTCGCCAACGAATTAACACTCTTGTCATTGATCGAAAAAGTGATTTTAGTGGATAATTCATGTTTTTAAGTGTAGACAGTAGCAGATCCAGTATATAATTTTGAGGGACGAAATCTTTTTTATGTAAATATACTTAAAGATAATTAATTTGGAAGAAAAAGAAAGAAACTAACTACCTGTATAAAATGATATTTGAGTGATTATTAAAAAAAAATAAAAATCACGGGTTTCGACCAAATACCAGTGAACTAGAACCAATCATAAAATAATTTTTAAATTCTTTAATTTTTGTTGTTTTATAAAAATAGATCACATGGCCTATTGAAATGGCTGATAATTTTCTTGTGTTAGTTTTGAGATAGTGATAGTGTCCTCTTGTCGAGGGCGGCAGTGCTGGGTAAGAACATATTTGGCTAATGTTAAAAAATGCTATTTTTGCGCTTAAGTAAAAATAAAATAGTTGAACAGAAAAATGTTTTGAACTAAGGTTAAGATTAATACTCTGAATTAATTTCGCGTCGAAATAAAAGTTAGGATGAGATGAGGCTATTTACGAAGACTCAAGCGGATGCTAATAATTTGATAAAAAGGGGTCAGTACGGACTTCTTTGGTCAGATTCCTTGATAAATCACATCAAAATAAAGAATATCCGTCATATTGTTTCTAGATCGTGGACAAATGACTTGTTGTTAAACAACTTAAAATAACAATATGCAGTTTATAGTCGTAATTGATACCACGGCCTTTATTCTATGAAAATAGAGGAAACATCTAGTTTATCGATCCCCCACCATTCTGTTTTAAGTTGACGAATAACAGGTTGGTTAATCCTAATTTCGGTTCAGTATGACAATAAAAAAAGCTAAGGAGAAATCAGTTCAATTTATTTCAAGTGAAATTGTGTTATTTTATTCACAAAATAATCTATAAGCAACTTTTTCAAAAAAATAAGTGGTATACAATCCAGACCTTTAATGAGCGCAACCTCTTCGCTAGTGAACACAGGCAGCCTTGATCTGCTCCTACCTTCCGCCTTACTGTTCATATCCACTCGCTGCCTCATCACTTCAGGATAATCACCATCTCTGGAGAATATAGGGTGGGCAAACCATCCAATCTAAAAATAACTATTAATTTTAAATACATGGATTTATCCGGGGATGCCCATCCCTCCCCCAAGGTCGATGGCGCATGAACCTCCCCTCTCTTCCCAAGAATTTTTATTGCTCTTCCCTTCTTATAACTGTTTATAAGCTGCTTATAACTACAAGCTAAAGTAGGATTTAAAAATCATAGCTTCTACATAATTGCACTTCCACTGGTCTGCTCTATCCTTTCCTCTTGTCCCCTCGTTTGAAAGATTTTATTCCGAAAATTTATAACCCTGTAGGAATGTGCCCCCTCAAAAATTTATAACCCCGTCAAAAAGTGCCTCCCCCCCCTCAAAATTGTTGATGGCGCATCTTGCGCCATGAAACTCCCTTCTGGACACAACTAGATTTAAAGTTAGGACGCTCCTAGCAGTGTTGGTCTTAGGGCTGGACTTCTCGGCAACGCGCCCTCCACTTTCTGGGAATTATATAAAAATTGGCTGAATTAGAAACATATAGAATGAAATATAAACTAATATAAGGGCTTACGCAACACTAGCGGATCCAGAATTTAATTTTGGGAGAGTGGGGCTTCAGCCCGAAAGCTTTTTTTTCATATATATATATAACGATAATTACTTTGGAAAAAAAAAAAGATACTAACTACCTATATGAAATGGTGTTCTTGGAGTGATTCTTGAAGTCCTATTAAATGTAATTACACGAACAATAATACTGAGAGATAATTATTTTTATATTTTTTACCATAAACATGATCACATTTTGCCATTTTGGGGAAGAGTGAGGCTTCTGCCGAAAGCCTTCCCCTCCCTCCATGGATTCGCCTGTGTTCCACAATCTTAGATCCTTGGTTCTGGAAACTATTCCGAGCCACTTACCATGGCTATTTGTTTGTAACAGTTTTGTGAGCATCAGTGAATATTTTACATCATAATAGTTTATACTTTAAACGATGTACCTAACGATATGTTATTTTGCAATCTATAAAAGATTAAAAAGATTTATCATTACGATTCGAAGCAGGAATACTTCTTAGTTAAATTAAGCATTTGGGAACTACACAGACTAATTTGTCGATAAATCAATTTTTTTTCTACACCTGAAACGTTTACATATAGATATATACATAATAGATCTATATACATACAGATTGTAGGATAGAATAGATAAATCAACTTTATTCTGGGACTATGTCCCTTGAGAATAACAACAGAAACCGAAATGAGACATCAATTCATTCGTATTTTGTCCTGGTTAACATTCGGCGTACTCATTTCAATATATCTGATATAACATGCCGAATTCAAGCCACATAATTCCACACCAAGCAGCCGTCTTAGTTTTCATCTCAGTTTTCTTTAGTCAACTATTTGAGAATATAAATATCATATACATAAACACAGGGGTGCCCAGAAGGGGCTTCATGGCCCAAGTTGCGCCATCAAAAGTTTTGAGAGGGACTTGTTTTGAGAGTTATGAATTTTCGGAATGAAACGTTTCATACTAAGGGACAAGGAGGAAACTTGGAACAGCAAGTGTAATTGTGTATGATCTGCGAGTTTTTTTAATTCTACCTTCGCTTGCTCAGTTTTAAAAAATATATGAGCAATAAAATATCTTGGGAGGGGAGGAAACGGGATGGAGGTTCGTAGGTTCTGGCGCCATTGACCTTGGGGGGATTGGGTACCACTGCATATCCAAAAGATACTATATTTACAACTACATTCATTGTAAATAATTATAAATTCACTTGCATAAAACATAGAAAACTTCTTATTTTAGGTACATATACCAAGTTAATCCTGTGTTCGTGCCCGCAATACTCGTTCCCGGTCTTCTGATTTATACACAAGAGCCCACCGAACCGCTGCTTTCGACGGATCTTTCATTATCCGATCCTCATCCCTATAGAACTCCATTCCTCCCGACATCCGTCAATCCAAAACCCTTCCTATCTTTAAAACCCGCCTGTTCAATCATTTCTTATCCATCCAGTCCCCATGAAATTGTAAATAGTTACTGTAAATATGTATATAAATTATCAGATCGTTCATTATTTTTACTTCATGTTTATTTTCAATTTTTCATTATTAATTGATATTAAATTAGAAAGTAACTTGTAATTTCTTTTATTATTTTGACTATATTGTTACTCTATATTTTTGTTTATGTATCTCTGAGGCTCCTTAGCCCACATTTTTGTCTTTCTGTATTATTCTAAAGGGACTCGTCCCAGAATAAATAAAGCATTATTGTTATTTTCGAATTTCACACTCTCTTGGCTTTTGCCAGAAATATTCACCTACCCGGACCAAGGTCAAGGGTTAGGCTCAAAATTTAAGCTATGTTTAAGAACTTCCTGACGATGTTCGCTGTGCCTAGGAGAACTGCTTTTTGCCCTTCTTCCAACACTTTCTCAGGCAGTTTCAAATTTTCAAAAGAGCGAATGGTATCGTCTGGGATGAGACCATTGCTGGAAATTACAACTGGATATATCTGGACTTGATTGAGTTTGTAAAGATGCCGAAGCTCTTGGCACAAGTCTTGATATTTCCTAATCTTTTAAGAAACAGTCTTTCCGATATTATCATCGGTTGGGACCGCTATATCTATGACATACCCACTTTGTTTCTTCCGACCAATTAATAAAATGTCCGGATTGTTATTAATTACCGTGTGGTCTGTAATTATAGATCGATCCCAATATATTATTTTATTTTCTTTTGACAGCACCGGTTTGGGCGATTCCATATCGATAATAAGGAACCTCATCTGTTATCATGATATTTAATGAGGCCAGGGCTTGGTGAGCAATTTTAGCCAGGTTATTGTGTCTCACCAGATATTCTTTACCTGCCAACGCTTGACATCCCGACGAAATATGTAGGATTGATTCTATTGGATTTGTTTCATAAGCGACATCGGTCACTTACATTTTCTCCACATATATGTTTTTTGTAAGCATTGGTGGATACTATCTGGTTTTGTATTGCCAAAATAAACCCTTCAGTTTCGGGAAATAAGTATCCTTTCTGAAGCCATTTATTAGAGGCCTCCAAGTTAATTCCCGATTGAGATAAAGCATTGTAAAAACGACCATGTAGTGCTTTACTCTTCAAAATTTCGACCAGATTTTGTTCAGTGGGGACTTCTTTATGTTCCTTTGAAACTAAGTTTAAAGCTGTGTAGGCATTATCCAGCGATTTTATGGCTGACCATACAGGGGAGTTTCTTAGTTGGAAAGTGCATCTTAAATTATTTCCTTCCACTCTACAGCTTCTTAATAAGCAGACAAGTCCCCTTCCTCCTTTTATCCGTGGTAAGTACATCCTCTTAATCGAAGATTTGGGATGTCGTTTCCTGGCTGAGGTAAAAAGAACTCTCACCAAATGATTCATTTCCTCCAGCTCCGTAATAGACCATTTTAGAACGCCAAACGTATAAGTCAACAGAGGAATTTGCCCATGTATTTATAGCTACTTATTATTAGCTAATTATTATTATTATTATTATCTATATATAATGGCTACCGAAAACTGCATATCACGCTCCGCGGCTTCTTTGTCCTCTTCTGAATCAGATGACGGGAATGAGTACAATCCAGATATTCCAATTGAAACCATACCTGTCAAAATTTTTTGTCTTAGTGACATTCATCAAATTCGTTTTTAAAATAACTAATTATTATATTAATTAGAACCTTTTTGGTGTTTTCGGAACAGTTGGTCGTAGAGCCGATAAGCCTTGGCATGGGCTAACAGCATGTGATGTCCCGCTAGGTAATTGCCAACACCGTGCAAGTTCAGCATCGGAGCGAAACTGACATCACCGTATCCTCTGCTCATTTCCAACGGCTCGTTGATGGTCGTCCAATACTTCACCTAGAAAAAGTATCAAAATCATTTTCCAGACTGAATAACGAAACATCTCAATTATAGCCACCTTCAATATACCTGGTCGCCATAATTTTCGAACAAAACTTTGGCGTAATCGACAAAATGGTCTACTATAAGTGGATTGGTCCAGCCGCCAATATCCTGAAGCTTTTGGGGAAGGTCCCAGTGGTACATTGTAATCTAGAAAATGGAAGTAACAACTTGATTATTTTTAGGAAATATTTGAAACATTATTTCAAGAAGAAAACTGATTTACGATTGGTTGGATCCCATTTGCCAGAAGTTCATCTATGAAACTTTTGTAATGATTAATTCCTTCTATGTTTATGTCATGTCCTTCTCCACTGGGAGGATGCGTGCCCAACTTATTGAGAATCGATGGAAATCGAACTACAATAAAAGAAATTATACTTATTATAAATTTATACTTGAGTCGCTTATTTCCAAAGTGAACCATAATCATTATTAACAATTTTCCAGGAAATACAATCGTAATATCAAAACCAATTTTTTTGTTTAAAATAAATTAGGAAATTCTTTATTTACAGAACTAAGTTTCAAAAACACATTATTACAGTAGTAATTAAAAAAAAAAATTGATACTTGAATAGGATTTCTTTTGGAAAGAAATAAACTTCAAGGCCCATTTTTGGACGAAAAAATAAATTGATTGAGGTTTTTTTTTGGAGATAAAAATGGTCTAGGATTCTATGAGAAATTGATATAAAAAATTAACTGTTTGCTTATAATAACAGTCGAATAAAATAAAGTTATTTTTAATTTTCATTAGGATAAAACGGTTAAAAAAGCTTTTGACGATTCTTTTTTACGTTCCTTGAAAAAAAGGACCGATTTAGGAAATCAACTTAATTCCATCGGACCTATTCTTATTTCAATTTCGATAAAAATCTATTAAAAAACCTATTAGAATTTACTTTGGAAATGAGCGATTCACTTATTAAATCATTGCCGTAAGATGGGGTAGCTTTGGGACTGGGTGGGTAACTTTAGTACAACTGGTGAAATTTAGTTTGTGATTCCGTGATGGATAAACTGTGTTGGTTCAGTCAAAAACGTGATTTGTGTAGGTATGTACTGCGCTACTTCCTTGCGGCACACTACTCTTGAAGTACAAGCGAAAGTTTCATGAAAACAAGAATTCCTACATGCCTACACAAAGCACGTTTTTGCAGACTGGACCAACGCAGTATATAAACCATGGAATTACCACAAACTAAACTTTACCCGCTGTCATTACCACATCTTACGGTACATATGAAGTCTGAACATCATAATAAGTGGCTGAGGTCCAAACCAAAAAAAAAATAATGCTATATATGCTAACTCAGTAAAACAAGCTCTATGTCGCTCAGAATTAGGGGGATAAAACAAAGAATTTAGGAGGCGGCATTGTTCAGCAAAAATTTATTTTTAAATTATGATAGTGGATAATAGTTAACTGTAGAAGATATTTGGAGAGAAGTTGTTTGGGATGTTCAGTCAATACAGAATAAAGTAAAAATAAATAAGTTATATATTATACCATCATTTATTTATTTTTCCTTTTTCCTTTATTGACTGAATACCCAACCAACTTCTATACAAATATTTTTAAATTAAATGAAAAATATTTGTTCCTGTTTTGAATTTAAATCAGTCAAAAAAATGGTTATTGTTTTAAGATTTTATATTTGATCTCGTAATACACAACCTAAAATACTGTTATAACACTGTTTAAATTTATTGGGATGGAGAGGGAGGGTGAATGACGGAGCGAAAAAATTATGTTTGTCTCTACTCCCTCCGGGAAGAATTTCAAATTCCTGTCATGTTGTTAAAGGCCTAAAACTCGACAATCATTAATTTTCATTGTATCTATTAATTTTTTAAGTATTTACCTCGTTTTCATATTATCGGCAATGGCAGTGACCTAAAATGGTTTAACTCATTTTTTTTTTTTTTTTTAGTTCTACGTTTTCTATATATGCACAGACTTCATAATAAGATAAAAAAAAGCAATACTTACTCCAATATCTTTAATTATTTTTATGTCCTCTCGGTACATAAAATAGGAATTGCAGCTGATATCACCATTGGTTTTGTCTTCGACAGCCCCAGGATTTGTGTGTACAAGTCTGTCCCAAATATTCTCTCCTTTTCCTAGATTTTAACTTACAGTTAAACACTTTCTTTTGATGTAATGACAACAAACATGTAAAATAAGCAATAAATTGATAAACAGTATATCATTATTATTATCGATGATTGTGAATTATGTTGTTGAATACCCTTCTTTGAAAATTCAATTTATAGAAATAGGATCTGATCTCACAATTGTTTTGATCTAAAAGAAATCGAAGTAATTTAATTGAGAAATTAATTGTCTTACTACTTCTAATAGTCTGTAGACCTCTAACCAGTGACAAATCCAAAGAGGAAAAAATGGTAAGTTTTCCACCCAAAATAACCAATGAAAAAATAAGTCTGTTTAAAATATACTTGCAAGTACCAGCACTTGTTAATAACTATGCATAAATAACTATTCATTAGTTTCTTTTTTTTATTTTTATTCTCCCCTTCCTCGCCTTTTATGCTATACGGGGTTTTCCCAGTGGGAGGAAGATTAATGCCAGAGCTGAACGCTTTCCTCCCCCCCCCCTTCCAGGTACCGAGACACGCCAACTCGTACTTATTTCCTTCTATTATAACTTCGGTTATCAGGTTGTCGGGAAACGCGTGAATCTGTGCACACGCGTTAGCCTGCTCGGCCACCCCGCCCTGTTTATTAGGTATGAATATGAAGAAAATTTATTAATTACGATTCCTCCTACAGGCAAGTTAATATTTCTCCTAAATTCAGTGGTCACCTCTCTTACCTCTCCCCGAAAAATAAGAGAAGGAGCAAACTTTGGTTAGGAGTAAGTCTAGAGATGAAATTACACACAAATACTTATTTTTGGCTAATTTCTTCCCTGACCGCATTATCAGCTAGGGGCCTATCCAGATGTTTTATTTATTTTTAATTTTTGTGTGAGGGGCGTGCAGGGCGGTTAAAGAATGAAGGAGAAACTACTACATATTTCGAATTATTGTCTTTGACATAGATAAAATAATTGAATAACTTCATTGATAGAATGAAGTCGCACCGACCAAGCGTGTTAAAGCGTAAGGTAACATTCTTGATTTTTTTTTTTTTTTTTTTTTTAAGCCTTCCTTACGTTTTAGGCTATACTGATTTTTCCCGGTCCAAAGGAGAGGGCAGGTATGAAAGATTTAAAGTCCTCCCGGCACCGAGATTTTAACTCGTAATCTTCGGTCTATCAAGGCTGCGGAGCAATGCGAATTTTACAAACGCGTTAGCCCGCTCAACCACCCCGCCCCCAAAACATTCTACCGACGCTGGTTTTAATTCGGAATTACTAAATTTAAGCACTTGTTAACAAAAAAATCTTTAATTTCCTTCAATATAGTTGATGGAGCTGCAGTTTCATAGTGTATTTCTCATAATTAACTCTCCCATTGAGATACTCATTCGTTAAATACATTTTATGCATTAAACAGGATAATTCTTGATTATATAACATAGTCAATAGAAAAGAAAATGTTTTAACCGATTTTAAGGTTGACACTGTTACAGGTACAACATTATGTTACAACCGGTTATGTTACGACCTCGCACATGTGCATTACCAATCTTGAAAAGAAGCTTCTGTTGTGAACTCCACACTGGGTCTATCATCTTGTCATTGGTACGGAGTTCATTCGCAATATTATGTCTAACGTCGCACATATATGCACTCTTCAAGCATCAAGAGTATTACTCAAATGGGAAGAAATGTAGAGAGGAAGAATATGAAACTTATTGCTTTTTCGTCAGAGAAACATGGATTAACACCATGTCCATCATGTCACTTGTAATAATCATAGGGTTGGATATCTTAGTAATCATATCTGTCAAACGAACAAGGAGGAGGCTTCTTAAAATGGCTATTTCGTTTCAAATACTTTTTCTATTGATAATTTTACCGATAATTTTCGTAATCAATATCATCGAACTAAAATTTAGAAAAGCCAAGATCTTTATGATCCAAGAAACTGTGCTGGTTTCAATAACTTCGGTTTTATATGTTTACATCTTGATAGTACTAATCAGTTATCACGAAGTATTGTTAAGAAACGAAACAAAGAAACAAACGAATGGTATTCAAGGACAAAGGCTCATTTGGATGAAGTAAAATTAAGCCAGTATTCCCTTGGTGTTAATATGATACTAAATCTCATTACAAGAGATCTCAGGAAAATACGAACATACCACTGTGGCTATACTATCGCGGGTTTATTGTACTGTACTACTCTTACTTATTAATTTCTAAGTAAATACCAATCCCAAAAGAGCTGAGAAAAGAATAATTCATATTAACGAAAATATACCAGACCACCTAAATGTAATTCTTGACATAAATGTCAGATTTACAAGTTAAACCGAGAAACGTTTAAAATAGTGAAAAGAGAATTTCAATAATACATTTTTCCTATAAGAAATATATGTAGTCAGTTTATTAATTGAGATCAATATGTTTCAATATACAAGAAACGTGTATGAAGATGAGATAACTGAAGATAATCTAATTATTATGGATACTTAATTTTTTTTTATTGTTTATATTTACAACTGTATTACAAATAAAAATACATTCAGTAAATGTGAACAAAAGAATATAATAAAATGAAACCACTTGTTGAGAAACTACCCACTGGTAGCACTCTAAAAATGTATTTACAAAAGTGGATTTCGAGGCCATCTTCTTTTCAGACGCCTCGGAGGTCTTTAAATTTAAAATTTATTTCATACAGATGTATCAGTAAATTTCTAATCTGAATAATATTGCGTTATAATGACAAAAAGAAAAAAAAATCTGGTGCGCGCAACACACAACTTTCACTTACCGCTCTACTATGAATAGAAATTATTTTCTGGCAATGCTGGGCTATTATAAAATTTTTTTGAAGTGCATTTTAAACGGAGCTAAAGCTTAAAGCTTACAGATAACAAGTCATTAAGACCATTATAATTACAAAATGTCTATTTAATATATCCACAACAGGCAATAAAAATCTAGTCACTCCATCTGCTTTTATAAACCACACAACATTCTTTGCTTTTATAAACTTCAGAATGACTAACTCCAATTTCAATATTTTTAAGTGATGTCATTTTAGTGATATTTTTAGTTGAAAAAGTTATCTATCCAGAATATGAATAAGTTGATTCCGTAGGCGGCGATTGCTATGTTGAAATATAGAACTGAGAATAAAGGTATAAATTTAGGTACTTATTTCTTATGAAAAATGTTCTTAAGAAAGATACTTTATTAAATATCTGTAGAAAAAAGGTTTTTTTGGCTCAACAATTAAAAAAGTATATTTTAAATTTATCCAAATTTTCGCCTCTTCAGGAAAAAAAACTAGAGACCATATCTTTCCTCCTAGTTGTCCGATCTTAACGATTTTTTTTTTTTTTTTTTTTTTTTAGGAAATTCCATAAACTTTTAAAAAACATTGGGCATTTAAGCCCTGTAAAGGGACATCAATGGGGATAAGGCCTAATTGATATTAAAGACCACTTAATTATACAATAATACACCAAGTTTAATCAAAATCGTTAGAGCCGTTTTTGAGGAAATTGTGAAAATGTGTTTCAGCGTTGATATAAAGTGGCACTTCCGGTTAGCCGATTTTAAGGAAAAAGTTGCCATCTAACGTATTTACCACCTATCTTAAATACGTAATATCAGTTTCGTAGGATTTTTCATTTCTGAGCTAGACTGCTAACATACAGACACACAGACCATTTTTCGGGACTTGGTCATTTCGACTCAGGGTACCTCAAAACGTCAATTTCCATTGAAAATTCAGATTCAAAAATTTTTTCGATCGCAATACTTACCCTTACTATATATTACATATATACGTAAGTTAAAGTAAAAACTACTCATAGCATTCAAATGATATTTCCATCGATTCCAAACATTTTTATCGCGCAACTTGCGCTATGAAACCTCTTTCTGGGCACTCCTGCATATATGCCTGCACTTCATTATGTTCAAATATAAGTGAAAGTTTAAAAACATTGTTAAATTTAAAAATGTTTTACAACTTCAAAACTAGTTACTGGCACAGTTTAATACCCAGCCACAGAATCTTAAACAAGGTTAAAACAAAAAAAAAATATAACAAATCAATACTGCTTGATTGACAATATGTTATTGAAAGAAAAATAGCTTAAACAAAGTTGGCAATATGGGTTGCCGATTACCGCTCTGATAACCGAAATAATCGCCCCCACTACTACAATTTCCATCTGCAATACCAGGTCTTTGGAAACACGGCCAGTTTGATGTAAGCTTGTGAAAGTGTTAAGAATTTTTCTCGGCTTTCATGCATTTTAAACATTTCAGTGAGTTTTCTTTCAGAACAAGATGTATTTGTATAAAAATAAATTTAACATTTACATAAATTTGAACAAAAGTGTAATATAGTTAGTTCAGTGAATTCAGTTTATTTATATGCTATAAATAATTATTCCAAAGCTCCTGGATCAGTTGTGGATAATATTCTTCATATAATGATTTTGACAACAAACAAAATAAAAATGTAAAGAAGTCATAGGAAACTACTTAGCAATTCACGTAAGTCTAAAATATAAACATTAATGCTTAAGTGAAATTATACTATCCCTTTTCTCTTCTGGAGGGATGAAAAAGTGGTGATTGTTCACAAAAAGTTCTTGAAAATAACTGATGGTATACATTCGAAAGACATGTAAGAGGAAGGGTATGATGAATCTCTTAATCATTAGGCATCATAAATATCGATTATTAAAAATATCATAAACAAAATAAAATAATAATAATAAAATAAAGAAATAAAGTCCGACTACTCCAACACTTAATAGGCAAACGCTCTAAACTTTCAATTAATTACAAACCACGGGCGGATCTACAGGGAGGGCTTTCGGGCTGAAGCCCCCCCCCCAAATGGTAAAATGTAACCATATTAAACCATATAAAAAATATATTAAAAAATTATCTCTTAAAGTATTATTCTTCATGTAATCACATTTAAAATTACTTTAGGAATCACTTAAACACCATTTCATG